ATTGTGTAGTTATCCCCCTTCCTTATGTGATGATATGTTTATACATTATCTGTTTAATCACTTACGATATCACAAATGTCCATTTTATATTTTTCTGTCTAGCATATCAAATTATTGAAAATATCATTTCGTAAAGCTTGCTTACTGACATATGTTAGTGCCAGAATCACAAACATGGTCAAGTTGATATTTTACAACTTTTGTGTAAATATGCCGTATTAGAGATACATCATGAAATCTGCTAAAAAGGACGACAGAAATTACATAGGTCTAGCGATGCATTCTAGCAAATGCTTAAGCAACCAACATAAACATATGTCCATATAAGAGTGATTCAATTTATTGATTCTTAATTAAATTTTATTATGACAAATCAAGCAAAACGCTTTTGGAACGTTCCATTTTTCGATGTGAATATAGGACAATGAGACTTCCAATCCCATCTAATATGTTAGGACTTTTTTTCAAAATAGCAAATATTAATAAAATCTATTAGTATTCTGTGATTATCTAAACTAAATTTAAGGAATAAATATCCCATTACTTTTCTAAACAAATATATGTCGTGTAAAGCTCATAGTTACTCATAGTTATCATATTTCATAACCATTAATACTACATATAAAAGTATCAAATCCTTTTATCTGATGATACATGTATAGGAGTTATATATAAATAAATCATCCTAGTGCATGCATTTTATACAATTTATCATGGCTAACATGCATCTAATTTCCTATCGTTAATGACGTTATCCTATACCGGGTAACTGATCGATATATGCATTTCCCTCAAAGCTATATATCGATTTCTGTAATACGGGTGATTCATACTTACATTGTCCTAAAAGGAGAAATGACGACTCTACGACCGAGTGAAATACGTTTTACCCAGGATTCTATCAATAATGTTTTTGCCAGAAACTCAGATCATCCTAATAAGCCAATCGGCGAAACATTGGATGACATCTTAAAATATCTGATATACCAGAAATCAGGGTCGTCAAAAGCCGTAGAGTCTGGTACACACATGATAACAGGAGGCTGTGGGTGTTTCAGATGCTTGAGAGATTCGGGAAATGTACAGATATTCCCGTCCGATAAGTGTATGACGGTTTGACGGAAGAAAAACTAACAGCAAGACATGGCGGGAAAACAGTTTGGGTACGCGGCGATGAAGGTGGAATCACTGGAGGACACTGCAACCTCCTGCTACAGTTGGTACACCTAGGCCGAATTCAGGTTCCGCAAGGTTGGGGTCCCGGCGCTCTGAGAACAGAAGATCACAAAGACGAGGGGCGCATCGACATCAAAAAGGTCAATTTTCTGACACGTTTGATTAATTGATAGCGCCTTTAAGAATGTTCCTTTCATATTATTTAGTTTTATCGAACAGCAGCAAATATGAATACACCTAAAGCTTGCATGGTATTTTACATTATTTTGTTTTATGCTTTGTCTGTGCAATGGTTTACATACGATACTTTCATAATATTTTGATTTGTTATAGCCGAGGATATGGACCAGCAAGAGTAAATTCCCCTTTTCCAGATCGTTCGCTACCTGGGCAAATTCTTTTTACACTATCACTCCACCTTTCAGTCACTCCTTCAATATCGTGGCCCAACAGCAGTAACTTGCAGAAAATACACAAGCATGGCTCTTCTCCTGGTTCTCTCAACAAGTTCAACAACATTTTCCTAGTGTATTTGATTTCCGACGAGAACTTATTAATAACCAACGGCTAATTTCAGCTGATATGACCCTAGCCTCAAGGCATGTGCTGATGTGAGTAACGATGAGGATGACCTGCAGTGGTGGCTTATCTTGTTGGGCATGATCATTTGATCACTGTCGTATAGCTGTGTACGGCCACGGTTGTTTTGTCTCGTTTCATATTCACGCTTCGACTGATATCTGTAATTAGTAAGTACAAATTTGCTGTTTCTGTACTTATAAATATATAAACTAAACAAAAATTCGAAATAGTCATTATTTACTCTTCTTTTATCAGATTATTTCATAGACAAAATAACAATTAGTCGAGGAAAACAACACATTACCAATATGCTCTGTTGATTTACTGAAATGAGTCGAAGTGTAAACAAAAAAAGACACAAATCAACAGTTGCCGTACACAGGTACACGACAGTGTTGATACAAGGAGTGAAACAGTAATAATTGAATAATGTGTCAAAAATATTTAGTGTTACACTTTACAACAGTGCTTGTGGTAATTATATTAATCATTAAACAGCTTGTAAAAAATGGCTACCTTTGTGTTTAGTGTGTAACATATATTTTAATTACACAAATGAGATCATTAAATGTTTGTTAATGAAGATTGAGCATGAATTACTAACAAATTTTACCACAATTTGTGTAATTCAATCGGGGTCTTTGTGCAATGTTACTGGTAAGCATCTTATACGATATTGCAGCAAATATACCGCCCCGGAGACATTCGTAATCCGTAATCCACACCTGTATGTAATTACACCTGCATATCGAAAACCTACGTACACATAAGAGTGTCACTTTATTTAATATAAACGTAAAGACAAATAAGTACAAATAGTAATGAGTAAAAGTTTTGACAAACGAATGTGTTAATTTTAACAACCACATTGGATACAAATGACGAGGATGATAATTCAATGTTCCCAATCGTTATAAGGAACTTACATTTGATGGACCAAAATATGTAAACTATATATGTTCATACCTTTTTATCGAATAAAGAAATATTAAATCTTCCTTCGTTATTTTATAAATTTGTGCATTGAGATAGAATTTTATCAAATGATCAATGGACTATACCACTGTGTAGGACAGACATATAAACTTACTGCTTTTATACTTTTATTCTTTCTCCAGTTTATTTTACGAGACACAAAATCTTGTGGTAAAATCAGACGTAATTACCAAATTCTTTCCTCTTTCTATAGCAAGCCTCTAACATTTTGAGGGTTTAAAGTCAATTTAGGAGGTCATATACCCCCATATGAAGGTAAACTGAAACACTCTTTTTCCTTTTTTTTTTTTAAAGAACAGGGATGGCTCCCAAATGTACCTCTTTCCCTATTCTTCCTTTTTTGTTTCGCATGCAAACACAACACTACCTTTGATACGCCAAATCGTTACTTTTACCAAGGAATGAACGAACAAAAATTATGTTATTAGTTCACGACCCGGTTTTGGGGTCAGGCTTTAATTTTGTTACATGTGTTCTCTAAACAGGGATCTTTTGAGCTGTGTTTGATTTAACAATACCACAAAGTTATCAAGATTCCTGTTCATTGCCTTTTAATAGGTAGATATGTCACACTTTCGCTGTTTTCAATAGATCCTTGGTCCTTACCATTACTATATGAGGTAGGCTGTGTTTTTTCAGGTATTTGTGATGGCGTTCTCTGCAATGCTTTGATGGCGGCTTTCTAGAATAGAAAAAAAGTTCTTTCTGTGTGATCATCACCTGAATCTAGCTAGCAGACGAATATTTACTTCGCAGACGAACAATCTTTTCTTGTGAGGTAATAATTTGCTCTGAGCTTCAGTAAATGTGTGGCAGAGTGGACAGTATACTCGCCTTCCATCGATTGGCCTTAAACAGGTATGAGGTCATTTTGCCGACCACGTGGGGTATCTCTGGAACTCCAGTTACCACACACATTATAACCCACTGTTGAACACCATCCCGACCAATAAGAATGCTTAACATTAAATCGTTAAATTTTTATTCTGAACTGTTCAAAATAAAGCAATGTGTAGAGGAAGGGGCATAACTCTTACATTCTTCCTGAATAATACCACATCGAACGCAAAACTGTGGGTAAAATAACGTTGTGAAATTAATCTTCACTTTCATTCTGTTTCGACTTCTTTCGTAACAAATTATAAGATTACTAGCATCAATATCTCCACTTAAATAAACAATCCAATCAATAAGTTACTAATTCCGCCATATCGTACCGTAATTATGTTCGAAATTATACACAAATTTATGACATATAAAATGGTATTTTGCAATAAAGACTCATACACATATTTTATTAATCATCAATGTTACGTGTTTACTTAGGATAACGACGTTGTACAGTCATGCCTCACTCTTGCTTGCCACATGTATTGATCGCATTACGTCCTGCGCAGCACACGTGTTATTTACGACTTCCTCGCTAGACTTTTCCAGACGGCCTCACCGTTATATTGCCATCACACACAACTTATGTTTATGTGTCCTATCAATGACATTGGCTACGTGTTTGCAGATGTTGGTTATGAAATCCCTCGAACCATTGTTTTTTAAATTAAATTTTTGAAACATTTACTCGATAGATCAATTAAAACTTTTACATATTTAAAGAAATAAGGGGGNGGGGGGGGGGGGGGGTGCATGTCATTACGAAATAATCTGTTATGAACAGATTGCTACTTTCCATTTTGAGAATTATTGGAGAAAATGTGTATTTCATTTTTTTTCAAAATTACGCAATTTTTTTACCCCACCGGATCTTATTTATTGCGAGTCACATATGTGTAGTGGAGTACTGCCAGCTTTGTTCCACCTAGCAGACGTCACATGTTGTTACACACGCTTTGATGTAAGCGTTTGTGGTGATGTTACTAAATATAGACTTTTACAACTTACATTTTAGTTAATTACCAGATGACCAATTAACAATAAGTGCATTTTCGAGAAAATCGAAAAACATTTTATCAAACCTACAATCAGGTATCACAATATACTACCACAAATGCGATTACAGGCAAAACTTCGACAACAGTTTTTGTCCGTCGCTATATTCTCTGGGATAGCCCAGGAAACTAAAAAAATATATATTTTATTATATAATACATATGACTCGACCATTTTCGTATCGAAATGTAAACAGAGGAGAAGCATCCATCTATCTTTAAACAAGATCGACATTAATTTCTGTTAACTTAAGTTCAGTTTCGGTTTCGATTCTGTAAATTCTTTATTGGGTTTCGAAAAAGATACTTTCTGAAATCGTTTGCCGACTCGTGATAATACAGTATAAATACAGTTATTGTGTTAGGTAACTGCCCACAGGTCTAGAGCCAACGATCATAATGGAGGTATCATTGTCTTTGTCAGAAAATACGAAACCGTCAAAATTAAGACCGTCTGACATCTGTTTTAGTCAGAAGGTAGTCTACCATCGTTTTCGGCGGCGGTCTGGACACGGACACATGACCATTGGCGATACCCTAGACGATATAATGGAGGGTCGACTGTCAATGACATCACTTCCGGAGATAAGTTTAAAACAGGAGGAAGACGAGGAGACAGATGGGGATATATTGGTAGGCGGGAAGAAGACTCGTTGGATTACCGCTGACAACCGTCGTCTTTGGATTTTCAGACACTTGGAAAGACTAGGTATGTTCTTACCTTTGCGATTTGTGATGGTAAATCGTTGATATGTTTGCGACATCAAGCACACACGGGGAAAGGGAGATTATATTCGTACAAATGACTTGTTTCAGCTATTGTTGTTTAGAGAATGTTTAAAATAATGAATATGCATAAACTATAAACTATAAACACAAATATTGCAATATTACTGGTAGGAAAGACTGGACAGAGTGCGGCCCCAGGCTAAGTTCGACTACCTCTGATATTTTGTTTCTTGAGCATATATTCACAATTTTTAGGATCTTAGCAGACCATTGACTAGACGGAACATTCACATGAAAAATACAATAGTGTGGAAAACTCAATAAAAGGGGAAAAGTTAGCTTTAGGATGGTAGAAAAATCATTATGATCTGACCTCTCTCTAGCTTTGTAAACTTTTGATAACCCGAATTACTCCGAAATATTTAAAATACCCCCTCAAAAAATATTTATGTAATGTTATAAATGTACCACACAGACAACTTCTCAAGATGGTACATTAATTATAATATATACCTTAGCTTTTTTTTCCTGTAATAAAATAATTTGTCTAAATATGAATATGGGTCATGTTCGGCTAATGATATTGGGGTAGATTTGGCAATGGCAATGGCAACACGTGGAAAGTCCTGACAGTGTCAGGAAAATCTGACGTTGCGTACTTAATGACGTCATTTATATGCCGAATCTATCCCAGAATATCTGTCCGAACTTCCCCCAAGGGAGCAGTACTTTCAGCTGCACAATATCCTGACAGAAAAGGTTCTATTAATTCTTTAAATACCGATGTGTTTGTCATTTTGCTATTATTTTATGAAATTCTCTTTCAAATGTTATATTTACACATAAATTTGAACAGATAACATAGGCTAAATTAAAATGGGCCACAGTAACCACCGTCTCCCCCAAGATTATTATACAGTTGTTTTGGATGGATGACTATGTCACTTTTGAAATTGACCAATCAGAACGCCACTTTCTATTCACCCCATTCAAAGTCGCAGATTTTCTGTTGACATCTTTTCTACGTATGTTAATGTATACATTTGCCTTCGTAATCTATATTATTAATGTAAGAAATTCTGATCAAAAATAGAAGATACCTGTAAAATTTCACTGGGTAACCAATCAGAAATGACGCTCAGACTTGTTATCAAGCAAGACATCATTACTTTATGGCACTTAAGATTTTTATTATAAGCCCAAATGTTTTGATGCAGTGACATTTTCGTTGTTGTAAGTAATATTAAATAAATAAAACACAGAAAATGTAATGGTTTCACTCCTATGGTAGGATAAACATTACCGATATTTTCACTTGTACTTTTCCCTAAAGAAAAATATCGATATTCTGCCATACTAGTGAGATATATATGTTTTTTCAATGGGAAACCATTAAGTATCCTCTGTATAGCTCATGCAGTTTAATTACCATATAGGTCACTCACATTTGTGTATGCTTATATTGACTCTAGTACCAGAGGCAAGGTTAATAGTATGACCCTTTCATTCGAAAATACATCCATCCTCTATCACAAGAAAATTCTTTTCAAATGGTCAGGGTGGGATATTGAAGCGGACGAATACCCAGTAGAATCGTTTTATATACTTTGCTGTCCGAATGCTGTTTGTAGTTTTCATTACATTAAAGTAAAACAACATTACAATATTGCTAAAATCGAAACACAACCAGATGGAAACCAAACTAAGGTTTGATATATATTTACGTTAGTTGTTAATATTTCTACCCTAGTTTTTTTCAATCTGTCCAGGTCTATTAACCTTCTTGGATGTTCCCCCGTATATAGTATATATGTTACCGCTATGACTATCACGAATATTTCATCATATAACATAAATTCGTTCCTTTCTTCCAGGCAGATGTAAAGAGATTTCTTTCCAAGAGGTCTCTTATATCGACTCAATGAAAAGATCGTCAGAAAATCGTGGTGTTTCTGTCGGGATAAAAGACGACGCGGAACCAGGAGGCTACTGGCACAAGGCCCCGGATGTTACGCACATTGACCCGATGAGTGTTAAATTCACCAAAGATGTTATTCCAATGACCTTTTCTTCAGGAGATCATTCAGGAGTTAACGTAAGGACTCTCGTCAATGAACTGGTTTCTGAAAATCTGGAATGTCGAAATATACCGCCCATCGTTGTTTGGCAAGACGAAACAGCAATGAGTGTTATCGACGGAAACAGGCGTCTTTGGGCTTTCCAGAAATCAACAAAATCCGAAATCGCTGCGATTGTTATAGAGGATCGACAACTCCTGGACAATACGATGCCAAGAATGATTGGTAAATCCCTCAATGATTTAAGCTCTGTTTATGATCATACTGAAGTAATTACGGAGTAATAAAACTCAGTATGTGGTCAGTTCCGTAATATACAAGCAAAAATTACAAAATTAAACTATGCGATAACGGTGATAACTATCATATCCATTTATAGAAATGATTTCACGAGTCTGTTCTTATTATAAATGAAGGAGTTTGTGGTATTTGTAAGCACATACATGATAATGATAAAACTTAAGCATATAATTAAAAAAAGATCAAATATAACATATTAATATGTTAGAAGCAAACTAGAATATATGTCCTATATATATTTCATAACATGCGCGTGACATATGTAATTAAAAACAACGTAGGTATAATGCGTATGTGATATTTACCTATACTTTGATACCACATGTAACATGTGTGCATTTTAGATAACGCTTACTTTTTACCGTTCGTTTTGCTAGCATACAATATGCAAATATGCCACATACCATTTTATTTAATAACATTTCATTTATTGTGTATTCTGTGATATTTTTGATTCATATAAATCTGTGATATATTTCTTCTTATTCTATACTTATATTTGTAATTACGTTTTAATTTGATTTAATGAATTATGTGATAGATTAACCTTTGGTTTAAGATTTACATGATGATTAGTTATTAAGTATTTCATTTACAATATTCTTAATATTCCAATTTATGTCTAAAAATAAAATACTGTATAACAAATGTTAAGACGAAATGTCAATGCCGTAAATGCATAAAATGCCTTAAGCTAAACTGTATCGTTGGCGTAACTACCTCATACCTTGAACCTACATCTTTTATTGGCGATAAAAATCATTCGGAACAAAAGAACATTGGGATTTTCATGCACACTCAGCGATATATTCATGATTCTAATCGATGTTCATTACAACCCCTCTCTCCTCCCTCCTTTCCCTCTCTCATATGTCTATCGATTTCCGATTATCATAGTATTTTATACAGTCGCGTTATAGATATGATTGTATGCGAATATGTATTTGGACCTTGTGCTTGGTCTTTATTTCTATGCAGGCGGACTAGTGTTAACGGAAATACCAGCAAGTAAGGAGTGAACCAGAGGACGTTATTAGCACGGAAAGTGATAAACAATTGAACAGCAGAACGTTATGAACAGCGAACAGATTATCACTAGTTCCGTTTGCATGGAGAAAGATCAACTACATGGTCCGAGATCATTTATACCANTCTCTCTCTCTCTCTCTCTCTCTCTCTCTCTCTCTCTCTCTCTCTCTCTCTCTCTCTCTCTCTCTCTCTCTCTCTCTCTCTCTCTCTCTCTCTCTCTCTCTCTCTCTCTCTCTCTCTCTCTCTCTCTCTCTCTCTCTCTCTCTCTCTCTCTCTCTCTCTCTCTCTCTCTCTCTCTCTCTCTCTCTCTCACACACATCAGATGTTTATATACGTATAAACGCGTGTGAGTTTGTGTGTATTGGTGTGTGAATGAGTGAACGCATGTACGTCAATTTGTCATTTCGATAACTTATTTGTAAAGTAATTTTGAGGGTGCCATCTTGTAAGTTTGTTGTATATATGATTGTTATATTTATGGAAAGAGCGTTATATAAATTGTATGACTTGTGCCAAATTCAGTTGCATTATGGCAATAAAAAAGTATTAAATCTAAACAATGCCTTTTTTGCTTTGAGAGAACATACATTTCTCAAGTAAAACAAGTATTTATTGGTGAGATCATTGGAGTTCATATATGTATTATCAAATAGTAAAATTAATCCTCGACGTCCTTGACCTTCCTCGTTAATAATTTTTGAAATGTTCCCGGTTCTAAGCGGTGGTTATTTTACCAGTTCAGGAAAAAGATTTGAATACAAGAAGTTATTGATAGTTGAGGAATAGTGTATAAATATCCTCTTCTCTGTTAGCATAAAGGGAGTGCACCTATACAATATGGTAACAGATACAGTAAGCCAAAAAATGCACCGTTAAGCTATTTCGTTCTACTAGGACTCATCGGTGAGGTAAGGGATCCCACAAGGCCTAAATCCAAAAAGGTCTAACAGAAGGAGAGTTTCATAAAACCCTTCAATTACATGAATTAGATAAAGGAGTAATGGATAATCTCAAATTAATAATGAGTAAAGTGTATATTACAGAGCTGTGATAATGTGATCAATGATCAGCCAATTATCGGATAATGGAATGTAGTAGTGGAACTTATGCAATTTAATATATTTTGTGAATTGAAGTTTTTTCATGTTTGTAAAGATAGTGTGCATCTTGTGTTAAGGTATATTCACTTCGCTAAAGGTGGCATAGATCCAGTATTGAAAATACATTAATTTGGGAAATTATGACATGTATCTCGTTTGATTTTACACAATCAATATGGCAAAAATACAACAAGAATGTATTTTAGTATCGAAATACATTTACATGCACTGGGCAAATAGGTTTCAGGTTAAACATTATTTTTCCAATTATTCAAATACAGCTATGCTATAAAATCTTAGAGGGACGGGTAAACAAGCCTTATGTTTTTTACAAACATGATTAATATCTAGTATCAAAATAAATTAACTTTAGTAAAGATTAAAGATGGTATGTAGTTAGTTTCAAATTACATCACTTGGGTAAAACTTTTGTTTTTTTTCGTCTTAAATACACTAACACGGGTGAGGATGGCATATACTAAGTAGAAGTATGACCTTGGGTAATTATTAGCGTGTATCTAGTCGTTACATTGTTACATTGAGTCAGGTAGGAATGTATAAACATAAAATGTATATTGGGTAGTGCTGTCTTGTGTTTTCACGAGCGAAGATATACTAACGATGCTACTATATCAAGAATTACCGAAAATGAAACTACAACTAGCGTGCTGGTTCCCAGAAGTTGCATATCATATAATATTTTTAGGTCGTACATTGTCAAAATATATAGTGTACACTTCTACTGTATGCAGATTAAACAACGTTAGGTGTATATTTTACAACCTTTGTGATGAATGCAGTAGTGCGTATCATTTGTGGGTATGTATTTTGGTTTATATTAAGATAGATTTTTATCTTTTTGTTAAAACATTTTTTACAATGTACGTATATGTGAACTGAAATAAGAGACGGGCATATAATTGTCTGTCATTAAAGAGATTGTGTTTCAGTTTATGCTTGACACTAATATAATCGAAATGAAACACATGTGAAATAACAAGACTCAGCATTAATATATGGACTGTTACAGTGCTTTAAATAATTATTTTATGTTTCTAATTTTTAAACAATTATAATTTTTGTGAAATAAACCTGCTGTAAAATCAAAATAATTTGAATTGATTTTTGTTCATTTAAAAAAAAAAAAAATGAAAAATTATTATGTATGCAAGGTTAACGTTATTGTCCTAGGAATTGTATGGTTAGATTGTATTAGAGGTACCTCTGTATGTGCCAATATGATATTAATTATTAAAAGTGAAGAAATATCTGAGCTCTGACCATAACACGAAAAAACATTGCACTCTACAATTAAATACATTGAAAGGAATATTCTAGGCCCGAACATTTACTTCCTCTGTATATAAAGTTTTGTGTCAGGTTTTGTATCTAACTTGGCCCGAAAAGCGGTGGCCTTCGTCCGTCCGGTGTCAACTTTTTACTTTAACAACTTTTTCTGAATAAAATGAATGCCTTTTACTGATATTCAAGGTCACATGGGTCAATTATTTTAAAAACATTTGTTTAAACAATATGCATGAATAGCATGGAAGTCCCAGGATGCTGATATTTAGCCAGTATTATGTTTGGATGAGGGGCTACCAACTTTGTTAAAATGAATTACCTTGACTTATATTCAAGGTTAAATGGGTCATATATGTTTAAAATCTTTGAATGACTTCTTTTGCATAACCAAAAGGATCAGGAAGATTATTGTCTGTCTTTCTGGTTGTCTGTCTGTCAGTCAGTCCGTCGTCAGTCCGGTGTCAACCTTTTACTTTAAACGATTTCTTTGCAAGAACCAAGAGGCTTAGGGTGATGATATTTCGTCAGAAGCATGCTTGGATTAAGGACTGTCAAGTTTGCGCAAATGAATGACCTTTGCGTATATTTAAAACATATAAACAACCTCTTCTTAATAACTAGAAGGTCCAGGATGATGACATTTGGCAAGTAACATGTTGGTATGAAGTGATACCAAGTTTGATTAAATGAATTACCACGACTTATATTTAAGGTCATAGGAGTTTGTTGTCTTTAAAACATTTAAAGGAGATTTTTTGAGGAACATAAAGGCCCAAAATAATGATAATTTGCAAGTAACATGCTAAGACTTTAAGTTCACCGTAACATATTGCCATATGTGTAAAAATATTTATCTCAATAAACAAAAGATCTACGGTGGTGATATTTTGCAAGTTGCATGCCGAGATGATGGGCTATAAAGTCTTTTAAACTTCATTACATTGTTAGACTTTTAAAATCACAGGGGTCATATATGTTTCAATCTTTTAACATTTATTTTTGAATGACTTACAGTCATAGATTTTAGTCAAATTTTAGGTTACAAGTGAGAGATTAATACCAGGTGAGCGATGTAGGCCTGTTTGGCCTGTTGTTTTACTAAAATGTGAAGTGTGTATGTATTACTTTAAATATCAATATAGCAATTGTCGCTAAGCAGATCACAATACCACCTTCCGCGAACAGACAGAAAATACTAAATATCTCATAAGGCTTGCACAACTGGGTCTAAAAAAAATACACACACAGCACAGTCATATAGTGTATCTTTTGACGTATCTGGTGACAATGGACTGGGCTGAAATATTGTATCGGTGTCTTTTGGAACGTTTCCAACACATTTAAATAAAGTTACGTGTTCAACAGTATGTTTATTTAGACTAGCCTATCTCAATAAAGTGTGATATACCATTGCATAATCAAGGGGACAACATGTCAAATGTGGATCAAGTCATCATTTCGAAACGTTTTAATCCTAAAAAATACTAACGAATAGAAATATATGATAAGATATAATTCAACAAAAAATAAGAAGTGCCATTAATCTTGGTACAGTGTACGTTTGATCCTGAATGACGTCATTGAACCTGAAGCAAAATGACATTGGTATAGTCCTTGGATGACAAATATATATATATAAGTAATGCATTGATCTTGATTTACATTGTCAGGCAGCGAGAAAATGTTAAAACTTCGACCGAGTGAAATACGATTTAGTCAGGATTCTATCAACAATGTATTCTACAAAAAATCCATTCATGCCGATACACATATCGGTGAAACATTGGACGCCCTTTTGACAGGAAAGTGTAGTATATCGGACATACTGCCTATAACTGTTGTCAAAAGGAATGAAATCTGGTTTTCGGCCGATAATAGGAGATTGTGGGTGTTTCGGAACCTCGAAGAGCTTGGACAATGTACCGTAATTCCGGTACAAAAAGGTCATCATAGGATCCCCCGGAAAAAATTAACAACATAAAATGATGGGACAGATATTCGTGTACGGGGCGATCCAGAGGGTAGATATTGGAGACGTTGGAAAGTTGACCATATCTCATCTGATAGTGCTGCAACACCGTGGTCAAACGACACATCAAGTGGTGAAAGTCACAAAGATGATGAAGGATCTGATTGCTATCTGGGTAGGAGGAGTGCTGCAACACCGAGGTCAATTGTCTCGTCACAACTAAAACACAAAGATAATTAGGGATCTGATATCTATCTGGGTAGGAGGACTGCCGCAACACCGATGTCAAATGACACGTCAAGTGATGGAAGTCAAAATAATGAGGATTCTATCATGCATCGGAGAAGGACTATTACTACAACATCGAAGTCAATTGACACGTCAAGTGATGATAGTCTCAATAATGAGGAATCTGATATGCATCGAAGTAGGAGAATTGCTGCAACACCGCGGTCAAATTACACGTCACAACTAAAACACAAAGGTAATGAGGGATCTGACAGCTATCTGAGTAGGAAGATTGCTGCAACACAGAAGTCAATTGACACGTCACAACTAAAACACAAAGATAATGAGGAAACTGATAGCGATCTGAGTAGGAGAATTGCTGCAACACCGAGTTCAAATGACACTTCACAACTAAAACACAAAGTTAATGAGAGATCTGATAGCTATCTGGGTAGGAGGAGTGCTGCAACACCGAGGTCAATTGTCTCGTCACAACTAAAACAAAAAGATAAGGAGGGATCTGCTATGCATCGGAGTAGGATGAGTGCTGCAACACCGAGGTCAATGGTCTCGTCACAACTAAAACACAAAGAAACACAAAGATAATGAGGGATCTTATATCTATCTGGGTAGGAGGACTGCTGCAACACCGAGATCAAATGACACGTCAAGAGATGGAAGTCACAATAATGAGGATTCTATCATGCATCGGAGAAGGACTATTGATACAACACCGAAGTCAATTGACACGTCAAGTAATGAAAGTCACAATAATGAGAGAGCTGATATGCATCGGAGAAGGAGGAGTGCTGCAACACCGAGGTCAATTGAAACGTCACAACTAAAACACAAATATATTGAGCGATCTGACTGCTATCTGGGTAGGAGTGCTGCAACACCGAGGTCAATTGTCGCGTCACAACTAAAACACAAAGATAAGGAGGGAGCTTATATCTATCTGGGTAAGAGGACTGCTGCAAGACCGTGGTCAAATGACACGTCAACTGATGAAAGTCACAATAATGAGGAATCTGATATCTATCTGGATAGGAGGACTGCTGCAACACCGAGATCAAATGACACGTCAAGAGATGGAAGTCACAATAATGAGGATTCTATCATGCATCGGAGAAGGACTAGTGCTACAACACCGAAGTCAATTGACACGTCAAGTAATGAAAGTCACAATAATGAGGGAGCTGATATGCAGCGGAGTAGGAGGAGTGCTGCAACACCGAGGTCAATTGAAATGTCACAACTAAAACACAAAGATATTGAGGGACCTGGCAGCTATCTGGGTAGGAGTGCTGCAACACCGAGGTCAAATGACACTGCAACACCGAGGTCAATTGTCTCGTCACAACTAAAACAAAAAGATAAGGAGGGATCTGCTATGCATCGGAGTAGGATGAGTGCTTCAACACCGAGGTCAATTGTCTCGTCGGAATCTGATATCTATCTGGGTAGGAGGAGTGCTGGAACACCGAAATCAAATGACACGTCAAGTGATGGAAGTCAAAATAATGAGGATTCTATCATGCATCGGAGAAGGACTAGTGCTACAACACCGAAGTCAATTGACACGTCAAGTAATGAAAGTAACAATAATGAGGGAGCTGATATACATCGGAGTAGGAGGAGTGCTGCAACACCGAGGGCAATTGTCTCGTCACAACTAAAACAAAAAGATAAGGAGGGATCTGCTATGCATCGGAGTAGGATGAGTGCTGCAACACCGAGGTCAATGGTCTCGTCACAACTAAAACACAAAGATAATTAGGGATCTGATATCTATCTGGGTGGGAGGACTGCCGCAACACCGATGTCAAATGACACGTCAAGTGATGGAAGTAACAATAATGAGGATTCTATCATGCATCGGAGAAGGACTAGTGCTACAACACCGAAGTCAATTGACACGTCAAGTAATGAAAGTCACAATAATGAGAGAGCTGATATGCATCGGAGAAGGAGGAGTGCTGCAACACCGAGGTCAAATGACCCGTCTAGTGATGAAAGTCACAATAATGAGGAATCTGATATCTATCTGGATAGGAGGACTGCTGCAACACCGAGATCAAATGACACGTCAAGTGATGGAAGTCACAATAATGAGGATTCTATCATGCATCGGAGAAGGACTAGTGCTACAACACCGAAGTCAATTGACACGTCAAGTAATGAAAGTCACAATAATGAGGGAGCTGATATGCAGCGGAGTAGGAGGAGTGCTGCAACACCGAGGTCAATTGAAAAGTCACAACTAAAACACAAATATATTGAGCGATCTGACTGCTATCTGGGTAGGAGTGCTGCAACAAAGAGATCAATTGTCACCTCACAACTAAAACACAAAGATAATGAGGAAACTGATAGCGATCTGAGTAGGAGAATTGCTGCAACACCGAAGTCAAATGACACGTCAAGTGATGAAAGTCTCAATAATGAGGATTCTATCATGCATCGGAGAAGGACTATTGCTACAACACCGAAGTCAAATGACACGTCAAGTGATGAAAGTCACAATAATGAGGAATCTGATATCTATCTGGGTAGGAGGAGTGCTGCAACACCGAAATCAAATGACACGTCAAGTGATGGAAGTCACAATAATGAGGATTCTATCATGCATCGGAGAAGGACTATTGCTACAACACCGAAGTCAAATGGCACGTCACAACTAAAACACAAAGATAATGAGGGTTGTGATATGCATCGGACTATGAGGAGTGCTGCAACACCGAAATCAAATGACACCTCAAGTGATGGAAGTCACAGTAATGAGGATTCTATCATGCATCGGAGAAGGACTATTGCTACAACACCGAAGTCAAATGGCACGTCACAACTAAAACACAAAGATAATGAGGGATCTTATATCTATCTGGGTAAGAGGACTGCTGCAAGACCGAGGACAAATGACACGTCAAGTGATGAAAGTCACAATAATGAGTAATCTGATATCTATCTGGGTAGGAGGAGTGCTGCAACACCGAGGTCAATTGAAACGTCACAACTAAAACACAAATATATTGAGGGATCTGACAGCTATCTGGGTAGGAGTGCTGCAACAAAGAGGTCAATTGTCACATCAGAACTAAAACACAATGATAATGAGGGTTATGATATGTATCGGACTAGGAGGAGTGCTGCAACAACGAGGTCAATTGAAACGTCTCAACTACAACACAAAGATAATGAGGAAACTGATAGCTATCTGAGTAGGATAATTGCTGCAACAACGAGGTCAAATGACACGTCACAACTAAAACACAAAGTTAATGAGAGATCTGATAGCTATCTGGGTAGGAGTGCTGCAACACCGAGGTCAAATGACACCTCCCAACTAAAACACAAAGATAATGAGGAAACTGATAACGATCTGAGTAGGAGAATTGCTGCAACACCGAGGTCAAATGACACTTCACAACTAAAACACAAAGTAAATGAGAAATCTGATAGCTATCTTGGTAGGAAAATTGCTGCAACACCGAGGTCAATTGTCTCGTCACAACTAAAACACAAAGATAAAAAGGGATCTGATATGCATCGGAGTAGGATGGATGCTGCAACACCGAGGTCAATTGTCTCGTCACAACTAAAACACAAAGATAAAGAGGGATCTGATATGCATCGGAGAAGGAGAATTGCTGCAACACCGAGATCAAATGACACGCCAAGTGATGGAAGTCACAATAATGAGGGATCTAATGTGCATCGGAGAAGGACTATTGCTACAACACCGAAGTCAGTTGACACGTCAAGTAATGAAAGTCACAATAATGAGAGAGCTGATATGCATCGGAGAAGGAGGAGTGCTGCAACACCGAGGTCAATTGAAACGTCACAACTAAAACACAAAGATATTGAGGGATCTGACAGCTATCCGGGTAGGAGTGCTGCAACAACGAGGTCAATTGTCACATCAGGACTAAAACACAAAGATAATGAGGGTTGTGATATGCATCGGACTATGAGGAGTGCTGCAACAACGAGGTCAATTGAAACGTCTCAACTACAACACAAAGATAATGAGGATGTGACAGCTATCTGGGTAGGAGTGCTGCAACAACGAGGTCAATTGTCACATCAGGACTAAAACACAAAGATATTGAGGGTTGTGATATGCATCGTTGAGGAGGAGTGCAGCAACACCGAGGTCAATTGTCACGTCAGGACTAAAACACAAAGATAATAAGGGGTCTGATAGCTATCTGGATAGGAGTGCTGCTACACCGAGGTCATTTGTCACGTCAGGACTAAAACACAGAGATAATGAGGGATCTGACAGCTATATGCGTAGGAGAATTGCTGCAACACCAAGGTCAATTGAAAAATTCAAGCTTTGGCCAAAGACTTTCGGCAAAAGAGCATTTGTCTTAGGTGAGTTTAACGTACATGTTGTCGTTCATCATTGTAGTTAAAGGTTGCAATGACCCTGTTCATTGTGGCAAGTAAAAGTCAATTACTTCCGGTAAAGGTTATTATTCAATACCATGAATATTTCACACTGCTTTACACTCCTCTAAATATATATGCCACAGCAGTTTTTTTTAATATCTAAAGGGTTCCGTAACTAAAGCATTTGTTTTTTTAAACATATTTATCATTCTTAAACTGTAAATACTTTGACACTGTTTGTATTAATATTTTATTTTACAAAATAGGCATAATACATTAACACTTTTACAAAATATTAAACGCAGAAGTAATAACTACAATATGTCACAATTTTGTTTAACTTTTGTTGAAATATCCATAAAGTATGCATAAAGTATGTTAACATTTTTACAGAAGACTGTAAACAGAAGTTATAGTTATAATATATCACACTATTTCTATTCTTTGTTTAAATTTTACACAAAATTTACATAATACATTTACACTAGATTATACACAAAAGGTATAACTATAGTATATCCCACATTTTTGTGGTTTTTGTTTGAAATATCCACTGGTTATCAACACTGGCAATCAATGGTAAATCTGATATGTGATTTGATACATTGGTTCCTTGGCGTAGTTGTATCAAGTTTCTTTTCCATAAAGACACATTAATGTAAGGTAATGATAAGTGACAACTTCCTATATGATAAGATGAAAACAATGTTTGCATACCCTAAGACTTAATATGAATAAAACGATCACCTTCAAGAAATAAACCGTACCGGTCTGTTTTTCTTATTTAAATATTTTTATTAATTTATATATTTCTATCTTGAAAATTTGATCACTTGTTCAAGCAACAGACAATAGTTCACTACATGTAATCCTCCATTCAAATTATCAGTACATTATCCTTCACTGACATTTTCCTTTAAGGTAAAGAGCACTACTACACTAGTTATAATCACAAAAAAAGAGCTCCAATATAGGATATTATTAATTCTTGAGTTATCCCCCTTCTTTATTTGATTATATGATTTATAATTATCTGTTTGATCACAAACGATATCAACATATACCATGACAAATGCCCAATTTGTTATACCTAATTATTCAATTATTTATTAGACAGTTGTCAAGTATTTCTGCTATCCAACTATCCAATTATTCAGATAAAATTATCCTTTACCATTAAGATTATTTACTGACATAAACTAATGCCAGAATCACCAACTCCGTCAAGTTGATTCGTGCTTTTTTATATGATTTATGTAAATATGCCGTATGAGATACATCATGGAACCTGCTAAGAAGGACGATGGGATTTACATAGGTCTAGCGATAAATTCTCGCAAAAGCTTAAGCAATCCACATATCTAGTTATTGTCATACAAGGGTGATTCAGATCATTAATTCGTAATTAAATTTTTGCTATGAGAGAGACCACATGATACTATGCATTTCATAAGTAAAACGCTTATGGAGCGTACCGTGTTTTTGTATGAATATAGGACAATGAGACTTTCAATCCAATCTAATCTGTTGGGACTTTTTTCAAAATAGCAAATACCAATAAAATGTTTCTATTAGTATTCTGTGATTTTCTAAACTTTGTTTAAGAAATGAATATCCCATTACTTTTGCAAGTCAAATATATGTCGCGTAGAGGTCAAAGTTACTGATAGTTATCATATTTCATAGCCAATAATACTACATCAAATCAATTTATCAGATGATACTTGTATAGGAGATATATATAAATCAATTATCCGAGGGCATGCGTTTTATACAATTATATCATGGATAATATATATCTTATCTCCTATCATTAATGACGTTATCATATACCGGGTAACTAATATATATTTATCCCTAAAAGCCATACATAGATTTCTGTAATACGGGTGATTCATACTTACATTGTCCTAATGGGAGAAATGATGACTCTACGACCGAGTGAAATACGTTTTTCTCAGGATTCTATCAATAATGTTTTTGGGCATCCCAATAAGCCAATCGGCGAAACATTGGATGATCTGTTGACAGGACATCTTAAAATATCTAATATACCAGAAATCAGGGTCGTCAAAAGCCGTAGAGTCTGGTACACACTTGATAACAGGAGGCTGTTGGTGTTTCAGATGCTGGAGAGATTCGGAAAACGTAGAGATATTCCCGTCCGAAGAGTTTATGACGGTTTGACGGAAGAAACACTTACATCAATGAAGCATGACGGGAAGGCAGTTCGGGTACGCCGCGGCGATGCAGGTGGCCATCACTGGAAGACACTGCAGAATCCGTCTACAGTTGGTACACCTTGCCCGAATTCACGTTCCGCAAGGTTGAGGTCCCGGAACTCTGATAACAGAAGATCACAAAGACGAAGGGCGTATCAAGAACAAATTGGTACATATTCTTACACATTTGATTCATTGAAAACGCCTTTATACTATTTCATTTCATATATATTTAATTTTATTGAATTACAGCAAATATGAATCAACCTAAAGCATGCATGGTAGTTTACATTTTGTTGTTTTATGATTTGTCTGTGCTAAGGTTTACACGCCATGCTTTTATAATATTTTGATTTGTTATAGACGAGGATTCGGACCTTCAGGCGTACACTTGCCTATTTCCAGATCGTTCGCTTCCTGTGCAAAGTCATTCCTCACGATCCCTCCATCTTGAATACTGTGACCCAATGAAAGTCACTTGCAGAAAATACACAATCAATATGCTCCTGCTCTTGGTCCTCTCTTCAGGTTCAGCAAACTATTCCTAGTGCTTCGGATTTTCGGACAAGAACAGATTAATGACCAACGGCGCTGGTCATAAAGAAATTCAGCTCATACGACCCGAGCCTTAAAGCAGGTGCCGATGTGAGTAACGATGAGGATGACCTACAGTGGTTGACTTATCATGTTGGGCATGATCATTTGATCACC